AAAGGTTGAGTTATTGACTCTAAAATCAAATAGCAAAACTGACTCAACCGAGGAGAAATAGAGAAAGAAATGCAAACCGACTGGTTGGGTTGCCTCCCAACAAGCGCTTCTTTCACGTCGTGAGCCGGACAATGGCTCCTAAGTTTCGGTCCATGCTATAACCTCCTTGAAGTTGAGGTTCTCGTCGATGAGATGGAGTCTCAAGTCACGAGCATGTGGTGTGGCAGGTGATGAAGGCTCATGTACTTGAGCAGATGAAGTCTCCACCCTCGAGACCTCTTCTTCTCTTCTCTCGTCTCATTGCCCCAAACCAGATATGACAACATAGATTGGCCACCATTGCGTCCACCAAGAGGGACCGATGTTGATGTGGCCTTGGTCTGGCAAAGAGACACTGCAAATGAGTCCTTGCTAAGCAGTTCCTCAAAGTTTGGTGGGGATATTACTTGCAACTCATGGCCGGTGCAGGCCTCTTCCACCTTAACTCCGTCCTCAGCCTGGACGCCAATTGCTTCTTCAACCCCCCTTTCTTCTTCAAAATGTGGTCTCTCCCCTGGGAAGAGATCAAGAACCACCTCTTCTTTCCTTTCTTCCTCATCCTCCACAACTTCCTTCCTCATCCTTGCTCGCTCTTCTTCTTCTAGAACAGATTGGAGAGCAAGTCGCCAAGCAATTTCTTCAATGGGATCATCTTGCATCTCCTCGCACGGGCCCAGCATGTTAGAGCATAAATGAGGAAAGGTGTGGTCTGCAACCAAAGGACTTTCCTGATCATGATTATCATGGGAGTTCTCTGTGATGACTTCTGTATGCTCCTCAACGCTCCCATAGCCTTTGTCATCCTCCACCTCTTCTAGCGTGGTAGCAGAAGGGTGATCTTGAGCAAGATGTGAGCAAACTTGCTCCACCCACTCTGTTTGCTTCGCTGAGCGCTGAACAGTCTCCTCCATATAATGGAGGAATGAGGGATCGGAAGAGGCAAGGGCTTGGATTTGAAGATCCATCTTGGAGCATGCTCTCTCAGTGTCTCGAGCAAACTGCTCCACGAGAAGCCTTAATTGTTTGTTTGGGTCTTCCAGTGAAGTGTAGCATGGCTCTGCAGAGTGGCCCGTGAAGGCCGCCATGGGTAACTCCAGCTCCGATGGCCCTTCTGGTTGTGGGAGAAAGTCTTCTTGGTAATGAGGTTGGTCTTGATATGCCCAGGGGTCTGATTGTTCTCCGTAGTAAGGGGGTTGGTACTGGAACCCGAATCCATAGTCTTCTCCTCCTTGATTGCTGTAGGGAGTCTCGAGGTAATACCACCCGGGTGGTGGTGGATACCCCCAATGGTTGGAGAAGCCATGAGGATCCATGATTCAGATCTGCACCAACAAAAACAAAAACACCCAAGTGAAAAGCAAGGGTGGAAAAGAAAAGAAAAGAAAAACGCTAAAGTAACAAACTTCTGCCTTTCCTAATAATCTAGAAAGTCCCCGGCAACGGCGCCAAAAACTTGATGCTCTAAAACACAACACCTAACAATGGCCAAGTGTAACCAATGAAAGGGACTGCAGTATAGTGGCACAAGTAATAAATATCGAATCCACGGGTCTCTAGAGTTACTATTACTCAGCTTCAGTTCATTATCTAGCAAACTAGATTAAGGATTGATTAACTAAACTACTCTACTAACTAAACTAAGTAAAACTACTAATTACAGTTTGGGAACTCACTTAGGTATGATTCCCCCTAGCTCCTCAATTAGGTCCAAGTTGTAATTCTTTTTGGTTGTTTTACTGTTGATTAAACTGCGGAAGATCCGACAGTAGCTTGGAATCTCTTAAGCTGACCAAGCCCTCTCAGTCTAACTATCCGGCAGACGACTAGTCTTCACCGGGATAGAAAGCTGAAGCAATAAGCACAGAACTCCACTACTGGAAGTGGATTCCAGTACAAAGCAGTAAACTGGATAACTCTCGTATAGCCAATCTCCTACTACCGAATGATGAGGCTCTAACAACCTAATAAGATTCTATCTATCTCAGGTTGCAGCAGAAATCAGGAAAAGTTGATCAGACTTCAATTGACTCAATAAACATGCATCATTCGATTATAATCAAACAATATAGCATCCAAAACTTCATACAAGAAAGATCCTAACTCATGGAACTAGGGTTCCTCAAAACCTAAGTGAAGGGAAGTTACTCCATAGAGAAGAGAGAGACTGCAGAAATATGATCTAGATCTTCAATCTCCATCTCCAAGCTTGTTTCCCGAGCTCCAATGGCGAAGAAATCCTCCAAAATAGCTCCAAGAATGTTCCCAAGTCGCTCTCTCTCTCTAGGGTTCGTCCCTTGGGTGTTTGGGAACCAAAAACCCAGCTCTCTCCTTTCCTTTGGCTGAAAATCGGGTTTTAACCAGCAATTCCCAACTCACACGGGCAGGCCACACGGCCGTGTGGCTCACCCAGTTGACCGTGTGACTTCAAAACGCTGCGTATCGATTAATTGGACTTCAGTCAACCTACACGGCCAGGGTCACACGGCCGTGTGGATCACCCTGCCTGGCCGTGTGAAGCCTCGCATAATTCCACACGGCCAAACCACTCCTTCACATGGCCGTGTGGATATCAGGGCAAGCCGTGTGAAGGCTCGCACAATCTCACACGGCCAAAGTGGTCACTTGCACGGCCGTGTTTTGTGGGTGTGCCCGTGTGGCTTCCTTTTCGACTTGCCTCGCGCCCGATCTTCGTCCAATCGACCCCGAACTCGCTCCTAAACCTTCATTCACTTGCTAGGACCTGAAATATCACAAACAAACACAACCTAGCGTGAAATCGGCCTAAAACACGAGAATTACCATCTCAAACGGCTCCAGAATAGGGGTAAAAACATGTGCAATTAACGGCTTATCAGGAATCTTCCCAAAATCCACCTTGAAGCAAAACCCTAGCCTTCTTGTCCCTTGGTTCGTGTTTCTCTCTCTAGAAATCTGAAGAAGGCTTTTCACACAAAATGGGCTCTCTCCTCTCTCCTCCTTTCAGCTCATCTTTAAAACCAGAGACGAGCTCAGTTCACGGCCGTGAACCATGAAACGCGTCTGTGAACTGAAGGCGTGCGCCAAAACGCACCACTTTGTTCATTTCTGTTCACGGTCAACAGCCTCCATTCAAGGTCTTAATGACCATGAATTCACCTTGCGTCAGTAACCTCTATTTTGGCTCTGGACGCCTCGAGATTCACTATCAAGGGCTCTTCTTCACGGTCGTGCAAGACCGTGAACTTCCTAGGATAGCCCTGAACTTGCCCCTTTTCACCTCTTCTCCCGCTTTTCGATCCTTTTCGTCCAACTTTCGACTCCAAGGCTGGTTTCACCTATTAATTCACGAAACACACTAAAACACGAGAAACCTAGCGTAAAACCAACCTTTTTATGAGTGAATTTGCCACAAACACCTAAGTAAAACGTGGGCAAAACATGTACAATTAGGCCCGAATCAAACTTACGCCAGTTTTTGCTTCCCTTATTCTCCCCTGCTGATTTTCTCTTGACACTTGATAGAGATTTGAGTTTATCCTTTTTCATTTTTATCATTTGATTTGCGCCAGTTTTCTTCTCCTTTTCATGCCTAAAATTAACAAATTGTTGGGACTGAGAGAGCAAAGAGAAGATCGAAGAGATTGAAGATTATAATAATTCTAAAAGTATGAAATTAATGTGTTTGGAAATATCATTGAGCTCCACTTTTTTCCCTCTTACGGAATTTTCAAGTTGGCTACAAAAGTTTGAGGAATATTGGCCCTAAAATTGTTTCCCATTAGAAATTTTGGATTAGGACAACAAAATATGTAATAAATTCATATTTACAAAAAAATTAATCAATTTCAGATTGTTATCAAACAATAATTAATCTTATACAGATTTTTTTTTTTTGCGATTGCAAACATATTCACCAAAAATAAAAAATAGACTTTGAGTTTAAGTTTATTGCAATTACAAATTGATGGAAATTTTAACTCTTAATGTTTAAGTTATATGATTTTTCGGGAATATAAGGACAAATTTCTACAAGAGGTACACAAATTAAATCCTATTCTCAAAGCATAAATTTGGTTTTTATTGTCTAGAAACGCTGTCAAGTTGATCTATAATAAGATAATCTAATGCATACAACAAATCATTTTCAAGGTTAAAATTGATCGTGTAGTTACTGATCGTGCTAATGGTTGATAATCGTAACATTATAAAAATGTTTGATAATCATTATGTAGAATCACACCCCTCGATTTAGAATCCTTTAGTATGGTTGAGGAATATTGAGATCAAGCAAAATCAATCAAGAATTAGATGTGATGGACAGTGATTGAGCATGCATCCTTATCTAGAAAACGAGTAAACGAAAATTGTTTGTGGAAACCTAATTGGAGTTGAGAATTATTGATGTCCTAAAAAAATTTCTTGGTAAGAAAATGTGCATTAAAGTGCAAGGAAAATTAGCAAAAGTTATCATAGTTAACGAAAGTATAAGAACCATCAGAAGATCAAGAGCAAGAGTATACCAACCATCAAATCAAAGCCACTTAGCTTCTAAAGTTTTTTTTTCCATGTGTATGAATTTGAGCAAGAATCTAGAGTGAGGAACTTAACTTATATATTAAGATTTACTAATTGCGAAAATTTTATAATAAATCCGGCAAACAGGCCGTATATGAAGCTAGTTACTATTAAACTGAAAAGTAGGGGTTAGCGTCTCTACTCTCTACCTACCCGCATTGCCCAAGCCCCAAAGGCCAAAGGGCCGGGAACGGCTACGGTGCTAATTGTACAATAGTTAGCACCGTCCTAATCAAGGGAAAAACTACTACTAGTTTGAATTAGTAGTGATTTAGTTTAGATGTTGTATTGATTTTATAATAATCCATAGTATTTTTTTGCTAATTATCACGGTGCTAACCCCTATAAGAGTTAGCACCTAATCCCATCCCAAAGGCCAGCAGCGCAGCCTTTGTTAGTTGGTATCGGTAACGTCGTACGTTCATTGTCTTTTGCTCTTCCCAAAAGCTCCCTCCGGACTTATCGAGGAGGGGAAAAAAAAAATAGAGAGCAGGGTGGTTGTTTTTTTAAACAAAAAAATAGGAAGCAACGACCTCCTCCTTCCCTCTCATCGTCGTCCCTCCTCCATAAAAGTAAAACCACCTACCCCTCTCTCTCACGGCTCACCTCACCTCACCAAACCCCACTTTCCATTTCTCTGTCGCCGCCTTCTCTGATCGAGATCTCATCTCATCACATCACATGGCGTCTTCAGCTACCTTCGCCAAGCTCGATGCCGCCTCTTCCACTTGGATCGGCCACCAATCCTTCTCTTCCCTCCCCCTTCCCTCCTCTCGCCTCGCCCCTTCTCGCGTCTCCCTCCCCATCCGCGCTGGCCAATACACTGACGAGCTCCTCAAAACCGCTGTAAGTCCATCCCTTCCTTCCTTCCTTCCTTGTTCTTCTTCTGCTCCCAACCTTTGTGTACTGGTTTGAGTTGGACTGCTGAGTTTTCTATTTCAACATTGATCTGATCGAAATTTGTTTCTGTTCTGTATTTGTTTTTTCTTCTCCACCCACTTGGTTTTTGACGGATCGGTGATTTGGCGTTTTCTGAATTTTGGAATTGAGTGTGATTTTTCTTTTTCTTTTTTGTTTTGGGGCTTTAGAAAACGATTGCTTCACCTGGCCGTGGAATCCTCGCGATCGATGAATCCAATGCTACCTGTGGGAAGAGGTTGGATTCTATCGGGCTGGACAACACTGAGACCAACAGGCAGGCTTACAGGCAGCTCTTGCTGACCACTCCTGGTCTTGGTCAATACATCTCTGGTTCTATTCTCTTTGAGGAGACTCTTTACCAGACTACTACTGATGGCAAGAAGATGGTTGACTGCTTGGTGGAACAGAACATTGTTCCCGGGATCAAAGTTGACAAGGTATTCTAAATTGTAATTTGATGCGCTGGTTAGAGGTTCCATGGGAGTCTGTGTGAGTTCCTTATTGATGTTCACTCTGCTCATTTGTTACTGTGCTTTTCAGGGTTTGGTTCCCCTCCCAGGGTCAAACAACGAGTCCTGGTGCCAGGGGCTGGATGGTTTGGCTTCAAGAACTTCTGAATATTACAAGCAAGGTGCTCGTTTCGCCAAGTGGTAAGTTCTCAATTTTCATTGTTCACTGGTTGTTAGTTTATCTGCTTGAACGCACTCAACTCTTTGATAGAAACAAGAAAAACACCCACTTCCCCAGTTTGTTTTTCCTTCTTTTTAAGTTGAGTTTTAGGTCCACAACAAGAGGTTGATGCTAAGAATTTCTGTTGTTATGACATGCTCATGGCATCTTCAGGAGGACAGTTGTTAGCATTCCTTGTGGCCCTTCTGCTCTTGCTGTCAAGGAAGCTGCATGGGGGCTTGCACGATATGCTGCCATTTCCCAGGTACTCGAAAGCTTAAAAATATCATCTATGGGCATAATTCCGTATTTCATTTCCAGTTCTTCTTGTACGGGGCAGTTCTTTGTACAAGTTTTCCTCATGGCTGAAGTCGGGCCCTAAGGTCCTTCCGCCAAGTAGGGGTATAACTATGATATCCTAAGGATCAGCTTATGTTTGATTATTAGTTCGTGGATGTAATTACGATCATCTTATATCACAGGCTCCATGAAAAGATTAAAGCACTCAATAGTTTGTAGTACTTGTACTTATTTATGTGCGTAGACAAAACTAGTGTGCCTATGTTTATCAGGAGTGCGCATAGCTATAAGCTGTGAAAGCTCTTAAAATAAATCAATTTCTAAGTTCAATTTGTTTTCCCCCCCTTTTGCAGGATAGTGGACTTGTCCCTATAGTTGAGCCCGAGATTCTTCTTGACGGGGACCATGGAATTGAAAGGACCCTTGAGGTTGCAGAGAAGGTCTGGTCAGAGGTCTTTTTCTACTTGGCAGAGAACAATGTTGTTTTCGAGGGCATCCTTCTGAAGCCTAGCATGGTTACACCTGGGGCTGAGCACAAGGAGAGGGCTTCTCCAGAAACAATAGCAAAATATACGCTCACAATGCTCAGGAGGAGGGTACCTCCAGCAGTTCCTGGAATCATGGTATGTTTGTGTAAACTTCGCCTTCTTCTAATATATGGTATTTACATTCTTTATGGTATTTGTGGGGCATTTTTATTCCTTTGTAACAATGAGGAAACCAGTGTGTCAATCCACACTGCTGACTACTAAGCTTTTAAGTGCTGGGCTTCTCAAGTGGAGGCTAATATTGATGTCTATGCCGCCTCATGCTCAATGAATGTTGTTATGATATGTTTGAGTTCGTGTTCTATTAACTTCAATCGGAACTACAGAAGCAAAATTGATGAACCAAATTACTTTGTTTTCCCTCAGTTTTTGTCTGGAGGACAGTCTGAGGTGGAAGCAACCCTCAACCTCAATGCAATGAACCAAGTCCCCAACCCGTGGCACGTTTCCTTCTCATATGCACGTGCGTTGCAGAACAGTGTGCTCAAAACCTGGAAAGGACAGCCTGAGAACGTGGAAGCTGCACAGAAAGCACTGCTGGTACGTGCCAAGGCAAACTCCCTTGCCCAGCTTGGCAAGTACACTGGTGAAGACGAGAGCGACGAAGCCAAGAAGGGCATGTTTGTCAAGGGATATACCTACTAAATGCGAGAGTTTATTTTGGGCTTCGTAGGCTCTATTAGAGCGTGTGTAAGCTAGCTATGTTTCCGTCTATCTTCCTGTTACATACTAGTATGAAAATTGCTGACGAGATGTAACATTCCGTGTTAAAGTTTCTAAATCTCTTGTGTTTGAATCTGAATAATACTTGAGGAGGATAGGAAGTATCCCTGATTTTTGCCTAAGACAGGAATGAGAATTGTTTAGCAAGTCGGAGACAAATCGTATGTATTTAGCTTCCTAAGTAGATATCTTGCTTGTTCAGTTGGTAATGGATGGCCAGATGGGAGCTCTTGAGCCAGTACTGACCTTAAAAGTCATGCGGGCAATCGTTCAAAAACAGGAACTGGTTAAGATTTGTCTGTTACCTATGCAGTCCCCAAATCTTTGGTACTCCAGTTGCTGTACAGGATGTAATGTTCAAATACAATTTACAAACGCGATTCAGTTCTAAATGTGGAAGACACTTGTTTTTTTTCCTGCTTCGGAACTTCATTCTTGCTAACACATATCGAGAATCAGCTTTGGCTTGTTAGCTCTCAATAGAGGTTGATAACAGGTGATTTACTTCCTCAATCGATCCCACCGTTGCTTGATGTATCCTGGAAGTAATGGCTTTGAAAGTACCAGATGATGACTAGTGAAGTCAACCCAAATCTTTACTCTCTCTCCGAGGTTGAAGCACCAATCTATTAGTGATTTTTTTTGCTTAATGGGACGTCGAGGATGCACATAGTCTCTGCTCGACATATATGATGGTAATACCAAACTCGCTGACATTATTCTTCCAATATGCATTGTCAACTACATCAACGTCCCAGTTATCGGTGTAGAGACTCACATCCTCGATAAATTGCATCATGAGCTTTCCACTACCCCTCTTTGTCGATGAAACTTTGGTTACAACCAATTTAGTCAAAATCACGCTTTAAAGGTTAAAAGCTTAAGTTTTTATGCTTCTAGGTCACCAAAGCGCTTCTACGTATGTCGCGCTTTTTCCTTACTAATGTAGTCAAAATCTGTGTTTTAAAACTTAAAAACTTACTCTTTACGCTTCTAGATTATCAAAACGCTTCAAAGTTAAATCACAACTTTAACTGCATTGGTTTCAACAATTCAATAACCTCATCGAGCGCACTGGATGCAATCATGAACGACTTCATTCACTGTCAATAACCTCTCGAAGATCTCTACCATCGACAACCTGAGGAAGAGAGGCAGGATTCTTACCAACTGGTGCTCTCTATGCAAATGTCAAGAGGAGTCCGTCTCGCATCTCTTGTTCTCATGCTCCTTTTCAGCCACAATTTGGATAAAATTTACAAAGATGTTTCAGTTCCATGGCCGCTTCCAGCTAATATCAATTATATTCTCCCAGCTTGGAGAGGCTTGTGGTGTGATCCAAAACTTAAGGATTTTGCCAAGGTCTTACCAGTTACCACATGCAGTGTTTTCGTCCATCTGAATGAGCAGAACAATAGGATTTTTCGTGACTTGGAAGCTTCACACTCCGAGGTTTGCGGTAAGATTGTTCAGATGGTTGGAGGCTTTTGGACTTATATTTGATGAATATTTTTAGCAGTGACTGAGGATTGGGGCAGGCTAACTATATATCTGTGATTGTTGTGTTCTATTTTTTTTATTATTCCCCCCCCCCCCTCCCCCCTTTCAGACCTTTCTTCACTTTTGTCGTAGGTAGGTTTTGACATTGTTGGGTGGATATGTTTTTCTTTTCTATTTTTGTAGCATGTTGTCATCTACCTTTTTTCTTCTTTTCTTTTTTGGTTCGATATTTTGGTGGCCTTGACTCTTTTTATTTTATTTTCATGTTTTTTTTTACTTGGTAATAAAATTGAGTCTCATCATCCATAATAAAAAGTTGATTATCAAGGATTTACAACAAATTTTACAATTTATAGCTTGGTGCTTAACTACTCTACTACAATAACCAAATCAAGTATATCTTAGTTAGACGGTGTAACATAGTAGCATGGGTTTGTATTCTTAGGGAATCTTGGGTGTTTTGTTACTCTTGGCCTTATACTACTATCAAGCCAACAAGATGGCAAGGGTTGAATGTGAATTAAACTAAACTAACAAAGACTAATTGCGAGGGAGATCACTAGATAAGAAGTTTGGCTAGACTTCCAACTACCTTTCGATACGTGCGAAGGGTCCATGTCATGAAGAAGTGGATTGATTTATCATTCACCACATGGGAATTTTTAGACTAAACTCTAACTCAATGGTTATGCAATTAGATTAGGATTCCACTAATGATATTACATCTCTTCATGAGATAGCCTCACTATGGATCATGTAATGCCTTGGTATGGTCACCCATACAATTCTCATCTATCTAATGATGACCCAAACCTTAGACATTGTGATGAGGTCATCAAGACAAAGGCAACCACACCAAATGTACCACAAGTTGCACAAGAAGGGCCTCTTACTCGTTCACAAGCCAAGAAGTTAAATGATCAATTTTCGAGTTATTTGAACAAGTATTTTGCTCGCATGAACGTGGATTTATTTGAAGGAAGACACATATTATTGGTGCAATAAATTGAAGAAGCCGAAAAAGGGTAGCGAGGAGCTCGAATGAGCTACCTTGGAGGGCTTTGGACTTGGTCCAAGTTGGCGGCAAGGTTAGCTTGGGCTTTAGGATTCCTTAGTCGAGAAGGAAAATCAATTCCTTAGCCAAGAAGGAAGTTATTTATTTTGTCAAATACTTTGTGGACTAGGACATTTTTGACTTTTTGTTTTCATTACTTGTTTCTTGTTTTTTGATTTCATTATTGGTATAGATTTAGTTTGTTCAATTCTATAAAAGGGGCATGAGTTGCATTGTAACAAGACACAAAAAATTGATTGATTGATTGAGTTAGTGAAGATTTGTGAGTTATGTTGTGAACTTTTGCCCAAATTTCTGCCGAGGATTACAGAGTTTGTGCGTCTCTTATCAACTAGATAATCACCTAGTTGTGTTGAGTTTCTACCCTATATCGGTTGGCCCTTCTCACAAGTTCAAGATTGTTTGATCAATTTCCATCGTTATCTTTATTTTATGTTGAAGTCGTGTGAGATATCTTGAAGCTTAATTGGCTACGTACTTTGGTAACCAATTAGTCTAGGAGTTAGAGTCTATATTCATATCAAGTGGTATTAGAGACCTGTTCAAAATCAGTTGCCAGAAAGTTCTAGAAGAAAGTTCTTGGTTTATTGGAAGATCCATAATGGATCAAAACAAGAACTTGGCGGATATAGTGCAACAATTGACAATGCATATGGAAGCTTTGCTTCAAGGGAAAACAACCAACAATGCTCAAATGTAACCTTTAGAGGGGAGGCTTAATGCTCATGCGGTGGTAAACCAACCCGAGGCTCATTTGGCGGTTGACAATCCAAAACGAGATAAAAAAAAAGGATGCAGCGTGAAGGAGCGACTGGAAGAGGAGGGTGAGTTGTGCAACGACTTTTAATCGAGCAAGTAAAGCAACACCAGCCTTTGGGAGTGCCACACAATGCAAGGAGGAACCCACCTCGACATCAAGACAAGGAGTATGAAGGTGAATTTGATGATGAAGAGGGTGCTTATCCAAGAGGAGATGATGATGATATGAAGGGAATTAAGGTGACGATTCCATAATTTTGAGGAACTAGAAACCCGAATGACTACCACGATTAAGAACGAAATGTGGAATTAATCTTTGATTTCCATCATTATTCTGAAAAGAGAAAGGTAACCCTAACAGCCCCTGAATTCTCAAATTTTGCTATGGTGTTGTGGGATCAGGATTGCACCAAGAAGAGAAGGAACATGAAATGTCCCATAGAGACTTGGGAAGACATGAGGATAATCATGAGGGATCGATTTGTTCCTATTTATCATGAGAGGGAGATGCACCAAACCCTCCAACTTTTTTGACAAGGTAACAAAAGTGTTGAGGACTACCACAAAGAGATGGAGATTCTAATGATGAGAGTAGATGTTCAAGCAGATAAGGAATCTACCATAGCACGTTTCTTGCAAGGTATCAATCAAGAAATCAGAAACATTGTGGAGATTCAACCATTCATGGAATTGGAAAGTTGGTTTCGATGGACATCAAGTTAGAGAGGCAGCATAAGAATAGCATTAGGAGAAGGTATCTGCCTCCCACAAGCACACCAAGAACAAATTATTTGAGTGCATAAAAACCTAGGCCGAACGTTTCCATGCAAGAACCACCAAAACCTGCGGCCAAGGTTGCTACTCTAAACCCTCATGAAAGGCTGGAAAATTGTCAGGTGGTATTCAATGTTTTAAATTCCATTGACGAGGTCATATTGCTAGCCAATGTCCAAGATAAAAGAGCACTAGTATTCTTCTATAATAGGGAGTATGTCTCTAATCCCGAGGAAGAGGATAATATGGAAAAATAGACATATGGTTCTGAAGTTGATGAATCTATGGAGATGGAAGAACTTCTGGGAAGGGTAATTGTGATTCGAAGGATATTTCGTGTGCAACCAAAGGAAGAGCTAGAACAAAGGGAGAACTTGTTTCACACAAGATGCTTGGTTGATGGTAAGTTGATCTTGATGGTAATTGATGATGGGAGTTGCACTAACATATTAAGTGCAAACACGGTGAAGAAACTAGGGTTAAGTACATTGAAACATCAGAACCCTACACTGTTCAATGGCTCAAGGAGGATGGATCCATTAAGGTTACTAAGAAATCTCTATTGAAGTTTGAAATTGAGGGCCATAAAGATGAAGTTCTTTGTGACATGGTGCCCATGTGAGCGGCCCATGTTTTGCTTGGAAGACCATGGCAATTTGATCAAAGTGCATAACACGATGGGATGACCAATAAGTACAAGCTATCACTTAAGGGTCATAAATTCATGTTCAAGCCTTTATCTCCCAAAAAAGTTTATGAAGATTAGCTTCAAATGCAACATAATAGGGAGAAAGAGAAGGATCTCAAGCCAAAACCAAACTGGAGAAGAGTAAAGGTTCCAATACCATGGATACAAAGGGGTTGTTTTCTGCTCGCAATGGGAAAGTGAAACACACAATAAATGATCGTGAGCCTTTGATCATGTTTATTTACAAAGGAGTCCTGTTAAACAACAAGATGGTTTAAGATATCCCACCAAAGGCATGATTTGTCTTAGAGGAATTTTAGGATGTCTTTCCCGAGGAAGCGCCAAAGGGAAAACCTCCCATCTGAGGGATTGAGCATCAAATTCATTTCGTTCTAGGAGCTTCAATTCCAAATAAAGCAACTTATAGGACGAACCCTAAATATACCAAAGAGTTAAAAAGGAAATTAGGAGAGCTAATTGAGAGAGGGTATGGTCGTGAAAGTATAAGCCCTTGGGTCGTACCTGTTATTATTGTGCCAAAGATGGACGAGACATGGCAAATCTGTTTTGATTGTCAAGCAATC